GCAAACTGGCAAACTGGCAAGCTGGCAAACTTGCAAGCTGGCAAACTAGCAAAAAGCAAAAGTTGGCAACAGCAGATACTGTTTAAGCAACTGTCGCCGGCTGCTCTTTATTCCCTGATATCCTTCCATACTTACGCCAAGTGCCATTGTCAAGGCAAGGCTGCTGAAATAAGATTTAAACCAAAGTTGTTGACGGTCGCCAGAGCGGAGACGTAACTCGAGGTACTCGAGGTTAATCTGAAGAAATACATTTAAATTTGCTCAAAAAGGAAGCTCAAGCGCAATTATGTACAGGCCAAAAAGCATATATACGAAATAATACCAACTGAATACGATAAGTATGGAACTTAGGCAAAGCATGGCAAAGGAATAGGGAAAGCACAAGGCAGCATCATCATCAAAGCACAATAATCATCATCAACATCAATAAATCGGGGGAGGATCGTAGCACGGTCGGGAAAGCTTCATCGGTTGACGGGAAATTGGGGGAAATAAAACACAATCGACATTTTTGTTAGTTTTTGTTTTTTTTTTTATAGAGAGGGTAGTTTTTCTCCGCTAAGGATTTTCAAAGTTTACTTTTATTTAGAGAAGTTCCTTTAATGATAATCATACTTATGCTTTGTTTTTCATTTTGGTTTTTTCGTCAATTAGCTCTTTTGCCTTTTTCTTACTGTTGTTTTCTTTAGTAGATGTTGTTTAACAGCTAAATACATGTTCGTTATATCATACTATTTGAGTTTCGTGTTTTTGCTTTCTTCTGGTGTACTTCTTTCCCTCACCTTTTCGTGTGGTTTTGTTTTTGCTTTGCTGCGTTAAAATTCACTTACTAACTAATTTTTTAGCTTTGGTTTTGTTATTTTTTTTCTAAATTATAATTGTTTTGTTTGGTTTTATTTGGTTTCTGGTTTCGCCTTGGGTGTAATTCGGCACCGTGATTTTGTTTGTCTGAGTTCGCAATTCGACAAGTTTAAGAATCAATCATTTTATATAAGTTTCAGAATCGTAATCTATATGTCCATATATCTTAGTAATTACGTGACTTAATACCCTAAATTGTAACAATAAGTATTTTTATTACTGGTAAATAGTACACACATTTAATGAATACACATAGTAATATTTGCCATAAAGCGTATCTTTAATATTGAGTTATTCGTTTTAATCGGTAATATACTGGTTAGCCCATATATAATTTAAACACTTTTAATGAACATTAACATCAACTTACCGCCTAGACAATTGTCTTCTTTGTATTTACCTAGTTCGACTTTGGCCTGACATCGCTTTTGCTCTGCTCAAGGCAGCTTGCGGTTATCGCAGCTTTTGGCACATACTGTACTTCTGCTTCTGTGCAATTGTCAACATTCTTCGCTTATCTGCTAATTCTGTAATTGAGTTCGCGTCGATTCATGTAACTTGCTTTAACTTTTGGTGTAATATTCCTCTGGTATATATATATGTAGATATTAATAGTTATTTTTAATTTTAACATTTATATAGTTGCATATGATAATGCTTAAACTTGCTGAAAAAATGACTAGATTTATCCTTTGCTTAACTTTTCCATCATTCCGTCTATCCTTTCACAAATGACCCTCAACATTAATTTTTCTATGGTTTGCCTTTATGTGACTAATTGTAATACGATTAATTAACGATTTTCGATTAAATACTGATAAGGTGTGAGTACACCCATCGAACGAGCTTTGTCGGTGCCCCATGCGCAGTCAAGACATTCGGAAAATCGTATGTTATCAAATCGAAGGAAACTTCTCAAGAACTTATCCTTTTCTGGACGGCGACACTTGTTCAATTTTGGTGGCACCCTCACACCCGTTTTGCCGGGACTCCATGCCCGACTACTCAGCGTGCTTAGTGCGCTCTTGAACGCGTGTATATCCGTGCGGGAACTAACTGGAACTAGCTAAATTACGTCAGTCTGGACTGAGCTTGAGGCACACAACTTAATTGCCCTTGCGTACAAGACTATACATACATATATATATATATATTATTTTAGCTTGAACTTTATGCTTTGATTTCAACTTCCAAGCAGACGTACACACTTGAGGGATGTGATGCATGCAAGTGGCGTCTGGCCACACTGATTGATCCACATCCCAAGGCGTTTCAACTGTCTGTGAAGCCTGGCAATGCCCTGATGGCATGGCCAGCCTTCAGGCCTTTTGATTATTCTTCACTGAATCGTTTTATTCGTTTCCCTATATGCCAATTCGTCGTATGAGTATATAATATTTCGATTTATATTATGTTTGTAACCACCAATACCTTAGTTTAGTTTTGTGTGTTTGTTCTGCTTAATTTTGAGATGCAGCTTCATTCATCTCGGGCTGGAGGCACTCGGCTTAGCCCTCGGGTTGTCTGGTGTTCGATCTTGTCGTAGCGGCTTGCTACTTTGTGCTTCTCGTTTTCCCAAACGTGTTCCACTTTGTCGTCAGTTAGGTGCCCAAAAGTTCGTTGCTGTTATGGTTGCTACCGTAGCTTCGGGCTCCTTGACTTGATTTCCCCAGATCCAATGGATTCTCCTCAAGTTTTACTTCTACTTCGTTTTCTATTGTTTTCTGATTCATCTTAGTCTCTGGGGACTTTCTCTGCTTTCTTCCCTTCGTTTTCTCGGAATTTGCGTCTTCCTTTGTCTATGGTATGCTTCGCTTGCTGCTTATTTGTAAGTTTACTTTTCTGTTTGTTGTAATTCGAGTTGCTGTAGAGTTTTGCGCGACTTACTTATAATTAATTTTACGCTCACTGCTCAATTTGCTACTTTGTTCCTCAACTTAATATTATCATTAAATGTGTCCATTTTAGTCGCTACATAATTGAAATATTTTTTCATTAAGGGTTTCATTATATTTTTTTGTAACCTCAGTTTGTCGTTTCACTAATTTCAAGTATGTGTCGTGTGGAATGTATTGTGTTTGTGTATTCAATGTTGTCTTTTTCTTTTCATCTCCTTGTTCATCCTAATGCTGAAAACATATGTTTAACTTTTTAATGGAAATCATTGCGGTAAGCTGAACTTAGCGTTTTATTAACGTAAACCGATAAAATCGTCTTTGATAGTTATTTTTATGACCTTCTTTCAAACAGCTGAACAGCGCCTTGTTTTTTGCGAGCGGCCACTGGGGCACGCTCGTTCAATATCGTATATAATAGTTAATAATATAATATAGTTTACTCTTGTTCGTTTTTTGGTTTGTCAAGTCCATTCTGCAGTTACGCATTTAACATATAAAGTTTCAGCTGACTTCTGGGAATCTCTCTAAAATATTTCACTAAGCTGGTTCAACTATGATCCATACAAATATTGTGGGGTCTTGTTCAATAGTTAGTTGTTCTCGTATGGTTTTTCAGTGTTTGTGTATGTTGTCTGCGTATATAATAATATTCCGCTAGTTAATCGTAAACATATTTGTTATAACTAAATATAATATTATCATCCTCGAGTAACTACAGCGTCTGCCTTTAAATAGCTCATTTGCCTAGCATATAACTCTATAAGTATGTATGTTGTATATAAAATTATAGTATCCATATATTCGTATATTCTATATGTTGAATTAAGTAAACACAGTTGAATTTTCTGCTCGGTTAGCGTTTGCCTGGCTACCAAATAAAAAAGCGCTACTCAAAATACGAATCTACTTAAAGAGTTAGCCCTTGATCTTAATCGCATTCCTGTGAATCATGAAAAAGTTTCATCTAAACAAAGGTTTTATTTTCTTTTTATCGGTTTTCCATTTTGAGGGTTAGTTTCTTAGACAAGCTTTGCGGGAGAAACCTTTTATAAAAGTTTGTAGATCTATTGGTTTCGCTTGGGATTTTTGGGCGCTTCTAAGGCTTTTTGTTGACTCTACTGATGATGGGTGGGTTACATTTATCAAGGCATTGACATTGAGTTGCGCTTGCCCATTTTTTTTTTCATGACTGATATGATTGAGTTAGCGTTGTCGACTACTGTGTTTCGGTTTTGGTTTTGGTTTCGGTTTGGGTGGGATTGGATGATGGAATGTGATGTCGATGATGATGGGTGCAAAGAAATACATAGCGATAAGAAACGAAATTTCTAAAAATGTATGGCATGCAATAACGACTAGGAACGATAGCTAGAAAGAACGTAGAGGGATGAACGAGCGAGTAGTAGAGAAGTAAAAGAGACGAGCTTAAAACGACGAGAGAGGATCGACGAAAGATCGACAACGATGAGGAGCGCACGATGATGAATCGAGTTCGTGATAAAGTAACGAGTAGCGAGTAACGAGTAACGAACAGCTAATGACCGCACTCGCTTTTCTTGGTATTCAGGATGTTTTAGCTGTTCTCTGCTTTCGTTTCGGGAGGCTAAGTTCACACAGAAGCTTTGGCTGTGGTTTCGCTGCTTCCACTACGCAGCGCATTTTGATTAATTTTATTGAGATGAGATTGTAAGAGTGTGGGCATAATTTTCACAACTTAAGCCTAGATCGAACTCATACCAAGCAACACCCGATGTCCTTCGCCCCTCAATGCCACCTCCTGCGGCGGTAGGTGACCTGTTCGTTGACCAGCTGCCAGAATTTGGCATTTAGCCAGAGGACGAACAGGACCAGCTGCATGAGCAGCGGCCATTGCTGCAGCTCGTACCTCGTCCTTCGCACCAGTTGCTGCAGGCGACGTCCGCCCCTCTTCCCCCCGCCGCCCATCGACCGATCCTCCGGCGGTTCATAGCTCAAGTTGTAGTTGTAGTAGTAATAGTAGTTGTTATTGTAGTGCTGCACATCCATCGGCACCAGATCTACGGGTTCGTCCCGCCCCGAAACTTGGCTGCTACATCGGTTTTGGGTCACTAATTGCTGATTTCGAGGCTGTGCGCCAATGTTCAATTGATTTGTTGCTGTTGTTGTTGTTGTTGTTGTGGTATGAGTCGTGGAATGGGTTGCATTATTGTTGTTTGGCTGGTTATCATAGTTATGGCGGTATTTCTGTGGTTTACGATAATATTACATGATAACGCATTTGCCCTTCTCGGCCCACGGATTGTTCTTCTTATCCGGCGCATTGATCAACGGATCATTTTTCTCGTTCTCCTCGATGAACGAGCGCATTCTGAAAATAGATAAGAAAATATTATTTACAAATTACCATTGCAGAAAAAATTATGATCCCTGACTTATACATTAACAATTTAGGCTGTTTCATTTGCCACCTTATAAGGTTTAATGAATAGCTGCTGAAAATAAATTCAGCTAATTTAAACTCATTTTCCTTATCTGTTTTTCACTAGTTTTTTTCCCAGTATTTCTGAATATAAGGCTAAGTATTTAAACACATTTTAAATTTATTTTATTTAAACTTTCCCAAAATACTTACACTTTACTGCTCCTAATAAAGTAGTCTGACTATATAGTATTATTCAATTTCACCTAAATTCAGCTTATAAACTTCATCCTTTTTCCTTCACCTTTTACTGAAAAACTTAACTGAGCTCCAACAATTTAATTTGGTAATCTTGATGCTTAAAGCTCATAAAATGTGTAAGCTCCCAGTTTGCCTGTCCTTAGTTAGAAATCAAGACATTTTAAAGGTATATAAACAAAAAAGGGGCATCTATCCGCACTTAAAGCTAAGCGAACATAAACTTGTAAATACCTTGTTTTTAGAAGGGGAAGAGGTTTTTTTGGGAAAATTCGGGTCTGAATGGCAGACGACAGCAGATTTTATGTTAATCCACACCCGGATGGACATTAAAAATGTTTGAACAGTTTGCACGCGCCAAGGAAACTAACATTTCAAAATCCCCCTCGGATCCTTTTTCCCCTCCGAAACATTCGCATATAAATTTTGAGTATTGTTGCCGCGCTGCCATTGTTGTTTTTTGTTGTAATACGCTTATCCTTCGGGGCCATAAAAATGGAGGTCCTGCCGTTTGCATTTGTCCCTTACTTTATTCCCTCTGTCTGACTGCCTGCCTCTTCCCGTTCATCTGTTTATCTATTTTTATTTCCTTTTCACTACTTCTCCTCAAGACAACACATTTCGTACTTTTCCCTTTTGTGCTTTCTATTTTGCAAAATTTGCAAGAATTTATTTATTTAAAGGGAGTTTTTGGCAAGGAGAAGAAAGGAGCTCGAGGCACATCTACTGACAGCTGCGAAATAGACAGTTGGAGAGACAGTCGTCTGGCAATGGTCTTTGCATTTCAATTTGTTAGGTTGGCAATTTCCTGTCTCTCACTTTAAACTCTATTCTTGAGTCTCTCAAACACAAAACCTTCTTCATTGCTTTTTGGTAATAAGACTTCAAAAAAGTTTTTAAATTAAAAGACCCAGAAGTGCTATTTACTTTCTCTGTACGTTTTTTTGGGAAATGTTTTGTAAATCATTTAAAAGACAGTGAGGAAAAGATTTGTATAATTAATAGTACCCATCTTTAGAAAACGTTGTCACTGTGGACGGCAGTCTACGTAAAAAAATTCTCCCTGAGAAGTAATTAATTAATTTACTAGTTTAAAAATGAGATTTGAATATGTGTTTGTTCTTTGATTAACTAGTCAGGTTTTACTTTATATATCTTCGACATCTAAAATTTCTAATATCATTTTTGTGGAGAACCATTATTACATTGTTACTTAATATCTAGGAAAGATAATACCTAATGTCCAATTTAAAAAAAAAAAGTATTTTTTTCACAGAAAAAAAGTCAGGTTATTATTTGCATATACTTGTATACATCAATTTAAATTCGATTGAATGATAAGTTTGCATAAAATAAGTGATTTGACTGCTTGCAGAGGAAAAGGAAAAGCTTGAGGCACTTTCCCAAGCCAAAACCCAATAAATAAATATTTTGATTGCCCATTCGTCTTGGTTGCTTTCTGCACTTTCCGGCCAACCAATTGCAAATTCCCAAAGCGGCTGCATATTGTGGCTTTATTTATTGGACAAATGTTTTCTTTTGCCTTCTCCACCAAATGATGCAGCTGGTCTTTGCCTTTAAGTTTCCCCTTCCACTTGGCAGGATTATAATTCATTTTATCTAAGTGTTGTGTGTGCGCTTTCATTTGACCGCAAATTGCTTTAAGCATCGTGTGGTTGCTTTGAAGTTTTCGGTGTTCGATTAAATTTAATGATTTGCATTGCATGTGGCGCCGGCCAAATTATTCGCATGTGTTTAGGTGTTTCCCACGAATGGTTTTGTTTGTTCCGAGCAAACCCTTTCCCCACCGATTGCTTCTGCCTGGGTCTCAATTATCAAATGCCAAGGTGTGCGGGCGGGCTCCGCCCTTCGTGTAATAATGGGCGTGGCTTGCATGCATAATTTAACTTAACAAGACCATGTCGTCGGCAGCGATGTCCTTGTTACCTCGGTGCCGATATCCTCATTCCTGTGCCCGTGCGTGTGTGTTGGATTTTCTCTATTTCCTTGCTCATTTTCCGCATCAACAGAGCAAAAGGCAATGTCATGCAGGCGGTTGGGGATATATCCCACGAAGGACTGCCTAAAACAATGCCCCCTGCTAACCCTCCGCTTTTTCGTCTCTATTCGCCCTGGCTAATGGGCTTATGACTTTGCGGTTACAGCCCGTGCAACCGGGAAAACTCACACACACACACCAATGTAAAAATGAAAATCCACAGAGCTTAGGAAATATTCTTTTTGGTTTTCTGCCGTTTTCTCTGCTCTCTTTTTTAAGGGTAAACAAAGGCCAAGGGTTTCCAGGGGTTCGAGATTCGACTCGGCAGTCAAGGCCAGGTCGAAGCGCAGTAAACAAAGTTGTTATGATGACGTTGGATCTGTTGGCAACCGAAAAGTAAATTTGGAAAATAGGGAGGGAAGGAGCAGCTTCCTCTGACCTTAAGATTGTGGAGTCCGGCCTGGCTCTTATCATAAAACCCTTTAAGTAAGCGTGTTGCCTAACATGCATTTTTAATGAGAGCATCAGAACAGATTGAAAAGGGGGAAAAGCAATGACTTAAGACCTCGAGATATCCGGTTTCAAAAGTAAAACCAAAAAGGGCTAAACAAGTATTAATTGCTTTGTTATTTACAATTTTCCTTAATTACAAATTTATTGATCATGTGGACCTCACTAACTTACGTTGACTATCTAAGTTAGGAAATACTTGAGAAGTTTCCCCTTTTGCCTTTGGGCTGTTTCGGCCCACAAGTGCATGACATCATTAGCATCTGTGATGAGTTTCTCTTGTTTTGTTTTCTCATAACACAAGTGGGTAATGCGAATGTAAGTAAAAGTAGACGAAATGCCACAGGGACATAAAAAACTTTTATTCGTCATCTGCATTTAATTTGAGTGGCTCTGCCGAACATCAAGGCTCTATGGAAAAGCGTAGGCAAACAGGTTGAGTGCCTCTCAAACTGCCATTCAGCGTGGAACACATTGAAAACTAATTCAGCAGCCGTTAATTTAATATGTGGACCACAAGACCGCAGTCGTCTCCCTTGAAGACTGGATCCCCATACCAACCACAAGCCCACATGGCCATGTCGACCACGCTGGGCTTTTATGTGCTAATTGAAAGGACTCGCATTCCCCATTAAAGCGGTTTCACATGCACACACACTTCCCGGATGGAGTGGAACTCTGAACTGAATAATTGTAAGAGCCTGAAATGAAAAGTCATTTGAAGGCACTTCCCGACATCATCAACCGAGGAACAGAAGCCCTCACAACATTTTGCTTTTAGGGTTAGACGAATTAATGTTCTGCACTGATGGAATCAGAAACAAAGGAAGGCAGGAAGTTGGACCGCAAACGTCGAAAGATGATGATGGAAATTAAACGATAATGGTATTCAACGGATGTATGCATTAGCAAGGATAAATAATTCATAGAAGAAAATATGACATAATGGGGGTGAAGTGAAGCATAATGCACTGATAGACATTAATTGAGTTTCGAAAACGAAGGAGCTTAAATTCTTTGATTTATTAAATTTGCTTACTTTTTATTAAAATTAATTTTACGAAATAGTTATAGCCTAAAGATATTTACGTTAATTAAAATTGTTCCATGTTTTACGCTAATTGTTTTCTAATGTCTATCATTATTTTGTATTGCATTAAAAATTAAAATTTATTTTTATGGACAGAAATTGGAAATAAACCTCAATTAAAATTAAAATAGCATCCAATTTCCTATTCCCTTTTCAGTCATTGTGATTGACATTAAACCGAAGTTAAATCAACGTTAAATTTATGCTGATAATTTCGATTAATGAAGTAATTTGTTTTATTCTACAGAATGAAATGCCATTTAAGAATCTAGCTCACCCACATCAATCTAGGTTCAATGGAATGAGAGGCACGCACACAATCTATAATTAAAAGGCGAACCAACATTTGGAATTCCTCCCTTTTTCCGTCTGAAACCATTCAAGCAATCGTTTACCTTTGAAAGTTTGCTACCTTTTCCGGTCTGTCAGCTGCACAAAAAAACATAAACACGATGTAAATGTTGATTTATGACAACCACAAACACACACAAATGCCAGTGTGCGTATGCGTAATCACACGCAATCTTAAGCGCCTGAAAGCATGCTACAAAAAGCATTATTTATCGATGGCAAACCACAGCAGCAGAAAGCGGTCTCATTTGAAAGCAGATAGCTTAGATCCAGCAGCTCCGAAATTAGAATTGCCTGCTTTTCAGTAAGCCCAGAGCTCAAGCCCCCCTCCCCTCAACCCAAAAAAAACCCCAACCGCTGTCACAGCTCCCACAAACATTTCATATTCAGCTTGGGTAAACAAATGCGTCTGCCACATGTCAATTTGCATCTGCGTGTGTTTTCCTGTGTGTGCTAGCCTTTATCTCAGCCCCAGCCCCTCGTTTCCACCCCTCCCACAAATATTGTCTATCTTTGCCACGCATGTGACAGAAATGAAAAGCTTAAAATTTCATTTCGTGCCTATTATTATTGTTTACACACAGTGAACGGTGTGGGAAATCCGTAAACATTCCTAATTGTGTTTCCTTCTATTAATCAGCTATCCTTTATTCAACTCTCATTGAAATATATAGGATATATATATAGATCAAAAATTATTTAATGAAATAATTCATTTCTTTGATCCCCTGATTCTAAATT